CTTCTTTGCTGCTGCTTAAGATTCAGTCGATTGGTTGCATAGCAGTGGCCATAAATTCTTCATCCATCACTCCCCGTTCCGTCTTCTTCAGTCCAATTCTGCCTGCCCACCTCCTCCCCCCCCACACACTTTCCACAGCATAGACCCGACCCCTCTTTGCATACAAGCCTTTTCCACTTCTAGGGGAATTTAACCCCTCCAAGCCCACAGTCTGCTTGACAAGATTATTGTGCAGTAGAAATCCAGGTGGAAACAGATTCAGGGTGTTTCCACAATGAGAGGACTCCTATGGCTGGTGGTTAAAAAGTACTGTGTAGTTATTCCAACCACCACAACAAAATCCTTAATTTTATTTTATTTTTTCTGGGAAGAGGGGGGGAAATGGAAATAGCAAAGGGAAGGGTTGTGAATCTAAATGGAATGGAAAAACAATAACATCTAGATCCACCCCCCGCCAATATGTCAATGAACAATGTAACCTGAACTGCAGTCTGTGTGTGTGTTTTTTAAATCATTTGCAATTTTAATGATTTTAAAGGGACTTTGCTTGAGTTTTATGCTATGGTGGGTCTATTTTCTTAAGGTATTAGCTTAATAAATGTTGGTCTCATCTGTGTTTGTTTCTTTTTAAAAATTTGTAGGCTGCCTTCTTTTAGTGGGAAGGCAGGGCATTAAATGAATGAATGAATGAATGAATGAATGAATGAATGAATGAATGAATGAATGAATGAATGAATGAATGAATGAATGAATGAATTGAAAAAGGGTGCAGTCAGATCTCACTCTGCCAGCCTAGTAGCTAGATTACTATCACTGGAGAAAGAAAAGAATGAAAAGCTTTAACAAAAGTCAGGAGGCCCATTCACTCCCTCTGCCACTATTAAGGATGTAAAATAAAAATCCTGCCAGGTCAGATCTAAGGTTTCTGTCCTTCACTTTTGCAGTTAAAAACAAGGGAAAAGAGAGAAAGCATCTGAAGACAACAAGATGTATTATTATAGTGTGAGCTTTCAAGTATTGCAGCCACCTTCTTGAGATGCACAGAGTGCAGACGGAGAGATCCAGGTGTATACGCCTAAGGCTGGCTTGATGTAGATGGAGAAGACAGGCTGGTGCCCCATCTGCTTCATGTACAGATGCTGCCTGGACTGATATCCAAGCATCTTCCACCACATCTGAGAGCACCACAAGAGTTTATGGGGTGACATGCATAGCTTCTGCCCCATTAGAGAGAGAAATGGACAGGAGATACAGCTAGACGACGGTGGGGCTCTCTCTGCCCCCCCCAGCAACCATTACCTAAGACAGTTGCCTCACTCTGTCTAAAGAGATACAGCTAGACGACGGTGGGGCTCTCACTGCTCTCTGCCCCCCATTACCTAAGACAGTTGCCCCACTCTGTCTAATGATAGCACCAGACCTTTCTATTGTCCTGTTGTTGACATCTCACTTCTAGGCTTGGAAGTGAGATGTCCACAATGAGATCAAAGTGAATGTACACGCAGGGAGTACAAACTGTGATAATCACAACACTAGTAGAGCTAGTGGGACATGGTGGTGCTGCGGGCTAAACTGCAGAAGCCTGTGTTGCAGGGTCAGAAGACCAAGCAGTCGTAAGATCGAATCCAGCTCCCGCCAACCTAGCGGTTCGAAAGCATGTAAAAATGCAAGTAGATCAATAGGGACCACCTCGGTGGGAAGGTAACAGCGTGCCGTGTCTAAGTCGCACTGGCCACGTGACCACGGAAGATTGTCTTCCGACAAAACGCTGGCTCTATGGCTTGGAAACGGGGATGAGGACCGCCCCCTATTGTCGAACACGACTGGACAAAAATTGTCAAGGGGAACCTTGACATTTACCTTTAGTAGAGCTAAAACACACAGCTTCCAAAATACAGTTGTTTTGATAGATATTTCCAGAGTGATGTCAGTATGGTGCAACCGTACAGTCTATCACTGCTTTACTTGATCATGCTCATCCTTGAGGCCCAGTACGTACTTCAGGTTATAATAGCATTTGCTAATGCCCTTCCTCATCCCTCAGTTGCTGACACATCAACTTGTCTTTACAATAAGCACAGCTCACGGCTGATTGATATCAACTGCCATTTGCTTTACATCTAATGGGTGATTTGCAAGAAACTCCATCAACACCCATAGAACCTGTTGGAGCTCAGAAATGTGATCTATTGGATTACAACTCCCAGAATCCTCCAGCCAGTTTTGCTGGGTCTTCTATTGGATTACAACTCCCAGAATCCTCCAACCAGTTTTGCTGGGTCACAGTCCCCCAGCCAATTGCTTGTATTATACTTCAACAACTACAATTTAAAGCATTAGAAATTATTTTCAAACGTTACAAGTGGAATATAGGTATATCGGGTATATACATTCTTTTCTTAGAGGAGACCAGATCTTAGAAGCATTGTATTTTCAAACGTTACAAGTGGAATATAGGTATATCGGGGAGGCCAAGGCGGGCTTTGGCTTCGCCTTCCATTGCAGTGGGCAGATCCTCTTAGCTGCCTCCAAGGCTTCAGGCTATACATTTCCAAGATCTTGTTGCAGTTTTTTTTTGAAGTTTGGATAAATTCCTCTAGCTGCACAGTCAAAAACTACAGGGATTCACACATCACAATAGCCTCAAGTTCCCCGAAGTCCATCCCTTTTTCTCATGAACTGGT